GCTCAGGGCCCATTTCACGTCGTCTTTTTCTGACCTTGACATCATAGAAGATGCTACCGTGTGCGAAGGAGGCGGATGAAATTGCCATCGCCAGCCTCTGTTGATGGGACGGCCATCGTTATCAGGCTCGCCACCGCCGAGAGCACCACGATAGGCTTCCACCATTCCCAAGAGCTATTTTAATCAGCCTGACGGCGGAGAGATCAGAGACAGCTATCCGGCGGCTGGCATACCAGCTATCGCCAAGCAACCCATCGCTATGAGACGAAAAACGCCTATCAAAATCCCATCGGATGTTCATGCCAGCAGAGTCAGTCAATGGAAGTTACAACCACCTGACTCTTACAGCATAGTAAGAGAACGGCGAAGTAGGACGCCTACGAGAAAGCGGAGTCAACAATTGTTGGTGAATCCTTGACGATAAACGAGCGACAGCTAACTCTGGAAGCAGATCACTCTGGTACAATCCTTGTCTACCTGCCGGCATTCGTTCCAAAAAGGCTAAGGCAGGTCGGCTATTACTATTACTCTATGCACATAAGGTGCTGGCGCTGTTGAGTCGGTACAATTATGACATGCGACACCATGAAATCTGATGAAAACACTCACATATTGGTCTAGATTTAAAGCGACGATGGCTCCCTAGGCTTTCCAAGATGGTCTCTTTCAAGCGATCTCATAAGGTTCAGCCCATCGAGCTCTTTATTCAGGTAACATATCCTACCAAATGGCAATAGTCACTGGACTAGAGCATCCGCTTACTCGACCGTCCAAAGGAACTCAGTGTTTACTACTGCGATAGTCGTCAAATTGGTGCTGGTTGCCCTCTCTGGGACAAACGGCCGCTTCGAGAAGTCTACAAAGAGGACTAAGCCAAGTCGGCGGTAGAATTAAGGTTGCTGTTATGGATGGGGGAGAGGGTACTGTTACGGCTGGGGAGAGGTTGCTGTTACGGCTAGGGGGAGAGGGTTTTGTCACGGCTAGGGGGGGAGGGTGCTGTCATGGATGGGCTCATGACACCATGAGTGAACGGAAGAGCTTTCTCACGTCATGAAAAAGGCAGAGATGGAATCAGGCAAGAGGGATATCTAACGATGGAAATCCTGCTAACGACACGAAGCAAACAAGGCCCGCCTTGTTCAAACACCGCCCAAAGTCACTCGATCCGCACTTGCACCGGCTACAATTTAACCCGACAACCCAGGGGTTAAGAAAACAATCGAGATCTGATCAAAGCAAGCCACCTACCCTCTAATGAACCTACGCCTAGGTTCATTTGTTTCACGCCGGCCGCTTGTCTTGACTTCGACAACTACAAGCCCGACACACTAGCCACGTCCGGTTCAACGTCACATCCAAGCAACATGTTACATGCCGTTTTCCCTCGTTGCCCGCTCCAGTTCTACAGGAATCTCAAACATACGGATGTCAGCCGATACTACTACAATGAGCATACGCCAACACACAACAGTATCGGAAATTACCAAACATAGCCTGGGTCAGCACCTCACAACAATACTCAGATACAAACGTTCATCCGCCACGACAACTATTGTCCCAGAAGCAGCCAAGTGAAGCTAACCGGTCTCTTGCACGACTCTAGCTCTCCAGCACCCGGCATATCGAGCTCTTACCGGCATTACATGTGGAAGCCAACGTGCAAACATTCGTCAACCATCCGTGCAGTGAATTGGCGAGAACAACAAGCGTTTCCCAGCTACCCACACATGCGTATGATCGGATCGACAAAGGATCCTCGAAGTCAATGGAGAGAAATCCTAGAAAGGTCTTTCAGCGATCTTCATCATCGGGTATCCCGACTTTAACTATAACAAAGAACACATAGGTCTTTCAGCGTTCACCGTAACTCATACCCATACGCCTTTCGTACCCGGCCATTAAGATAACTCTATCCTCAGCTTCTCAGCATAGCCGAATTTGCCTGGGCCACGGGACCAGCATTCCGCCAACGGTTTCGTTGCTTTCGTATGTCTTTCCACAACAGGGTTACCCAAATGCGTGCGTTGTTGACAGTTTTTCGTTTACTAGCGTACTAGGGCACAGGGACTGTGTGGGATAGCCAGCTGGGTGCTTTTGGCTTTCTTGATCAACAGAAACAGACCGAGGCGAGTTTGGTGGAGGGGACGAGAAGCCGTAACGATTACCTCGCCCCCCAAGCAATTGACACGTCAAACTCCGAGCCAGTACAATGATACCTGACCATATTTACATGACTCTCACAAGTGACCCGTCTTGACTAGTTGCCACTGGCGGTTCATGAGTCTTGAATGAATTATCCCCATTATGAATGACATGCACGCTCCATAGGCCTTTTTAAGCGAGTGTTCTAGGGAATACGCTACATACCTATGCAAGAGGTACAATGTGAGCTCTAGGCAACTACTACCCGGCTATAGTGCATCATTTCATTACGGGGTCATCTGGAAGGATGGTTTCTTCTCCTCACGGGCCACCGTAATACAACGGGGGCCTTCGTGCCACAAGAAAAGAAATAGAACCCGTGAACGGACGAGGCGCCGGCGTGAACTTGAACCTTGCATTACGGCTGGCTCCCTCTGACGCTGAGGCTATGTACGTACGTGAACGAGAGTTGCCCGCAACAAGTACAACTACTCTGTAGGTAAGTAGGTGTCATTTCTTACAATGTTCTGGTGTCTCGTTTATCCTTTAACCCGCATGCCTACACACGTACTACCCCTATATTCTCTCATCCATGTCAGCTTGTTGGACTCTTTGAACCATCTGCCGCAAAGATCGCAGGACAACATTGGATAGGCACAAGGTCGCCAAGATTGGAGAGAGATGCCTGAAGGTGCTCACTTATACGAACTAGCCCTGTATTCCCTCATCCATGTCGGCTTGTTGGGCTTTTTAAACCATCTGCTGCAAAGAGCGCAAGACAAGAGGGCAAGAATCGCCAAAGTTGGAGAGTGATGTTGAAGGATGCTTGCTGGCATTCATCGTGGATGGCGGTTTCCTCTTTTTGGTCCCGCTCTGGCAGAAATACCTACTTACCTGCCTACCTACCTACCTACTGGTAAGGGCAGGAGCGCTCCACACCTCCTCAAGCACTACCGGTTGCTTTGCGAAGCCACGACTCTCCTCGATCGAGATTGATGTGAGGCCATATTGACGTTGGGTCAACGCGACTACGATTCTTGGCTGGGGTGTTGAGACTAGGAGTGTCTCGCAGTGCAGCGGGTATTTGACGTGGCTTTTGGCGCTGTACCAATATCCCTTCTTCATCATCATTACAGGCATCAGTCAACACACTTTTCACTACCGGCGGAACTCCACGGGCGATACGACGATGAGGAACTCAACAAGGGTATACGCATAGAATTTCGATACAGATTCCAAGTATAAGCGTCGGGTATCAACCTTTTCGAAGCCAGGCTTTCAGGCGTTGGCAGGTTCAGGGCTCTGGAAGAAGATACCTACCAGCGGAATCAGACGGGCGATATGACGATGACGACTTGAACGAGTGTACGCGCGGAGTTTCGGTAGAGATACCATAAAGGTAGGACTTAATAGGCGTTTTCGAACCGAGGGTGCATAATAAGTTGGCGAGCAAAAGTCTCAATCCCCTATATGGCTATAAGCTACTAAGATAGGATCCATGGCAAAGGTCCCAGGGTCAGGCCGAATGAATTGAGTTACGAGCTGAGTTCCTCCACCAAGTGATGTGTGTCTTCAAAGCCGCCTCGAAGCTGTAGACAGGGTAACCATCCTGGGTATTAAGATACGAGAAAATAGTCGAACGAGATCCGATATGTTACATAGCACTGACCTTACGACTCCAGTGGACAAGGCAGATGGTCAACGCAGGCTGAAGATGAATTAATGACTAGTAAATAACGACGAAGCTTGACTTGATAGATGGAGATCATTCAATACTCCCAACGAAACTGGAACTTGGCAGAGGGAATGCAGTCGGAGAGACATGATTGTGATAAGGTCAATTAGTGCCAGGTCTTCCCGGCATAACTCGAACGAGGGGGAGAGGTGGAAGACTGGGAGTTGACTTCAAACTATGTACCTACCAAGTCACAGGGCTCCACTTTCACATCCATATCAACAATACCTCCTTTGACTGTCTTCTTCTACACACACCAGGCACCTTCGGTTGCCTGCCTACCTAAGCAGCAACAGATGCAGAAACAGCCCCAACATCAGGGACCTTCCTCATCTCCCGGAAGTGGTATTTTTAGGATGGTATGTGGGGCCGTGCGCAACGGTTAACGGGTGTGGGGTTTGCCCCGAAGGGCTGACCCCACATTCCGGAACCCGACCTCCAGCACCGTGACAATAGGATACCTAAAGAATGGCAACGTCGCGGATGAAGGGCATTTCATAGTCACGACCTGTCGTTGGTCCTATGCCTGGCGCTTTTACCTTGTAAATACAAAACCATCAAGCAGCTGAAATGCCCTCATCAATCCTGTTGAGAGTCATGACGGCATCTAACAAGCCAGCGAAGTGCGCGTTGTCAGGACATAAACAACTGGTGGTATGTCGATGAGTTTCCCCAGGAGGAACATAACGTATTCATGCTAGAGCCTACTTCTAATAACCCGCAGGATTGGTGTAGTGGTTGTAAGTTATCAAAGTCTCCCAGTTCAAACGTCCTATTAATACTAACCTTTCCAAGATCACGCACCGTTCACAGTTGTAATCAACGCAAGTTCCGGTGAGGTCGCGAGTTCAATCCTCGCATCCTGTATGATTTCTTTTTGCTTAGAGCACTTGTGGGTGATAGTTGTGGCCAGACAGCTCGTCTCGCCTTAGATCCGCCACACAGAGCTTAACTCCTAGGATGCTTTATACATATATATTTTTACACAAGTCGAGGGCCTAAGGCCCTTACTTTTGTCGTCTTATCCACCTGAGCATAAATTTCTTAGTGGTGTGGATAAAAATCTCCGAAACACCAAAAAAAAAATCGCCTGACCATCGTGATCGATCTAGGCAAAAGAAACAGGTCGAACCGGGGATTGAACCCGGGACCTTTCGCGTCCACACTGTGGAAATGTGAGGCGAACGTGATAGCCGCTACACCACTCGACCTTACTTGTTGTTAAAACCAGAGCTTGCAATTTGATCCTAGGCGTTTTTCGTGAGATTGCGGGATTTCTGACCGTTTTGGGGCGCCCACCATCCAGAGAATTCTTCTCCAGGTCCACTTTTTAACAAGGTTATTAGTCATATAGCTTAGAGCGCACTTGAGGCAAAGTTGGTCGAGTTTCAGGGGTCGCGCTCTCTTACCAGACATTTAGCATATGGCATTTAACACAGCTGATTTATAGTGATTTACCATTTCTAGGCATTGCACTTAGTTCTAGAGGTTTTCATTTCTATCGTAGAAATTCGCGAAGGTATTATATAATTAAGTATTCAGTCTTCACGAAGTCATGAAGAATAGGGGCGTTAATCCTCAACCATCCACATCACAATGATACTCCATATTCCACTCCTCACCTTTAGGGTTTCTAATCCCCTGCGCTCTCTCAAAGATTAGGAATTATCAATAAACGAGATTCATAGGCGCGGGGCAGTACTGTAGACACCGCTCCATAGCTGCCAGCACCTCAAAGTAAAACATTTACGGCTTCATAAATAAAAGTATAATATCCCACTTGAACCTGTGAATTCTTGCTAAAATCCCCTCCTTTCTTTTATTTCTCTGTGTAGTAAAATGCACAAACTAAGATATGTCCAAGCCAGTAAGAACAGACCCAGATCTAATATTTCAACGAGCTTGACGATAAGGCTAAGACCCTTAACCCTCACTTCGATGGTCACATTACGATGACTGGAATAACTTCCCTGAATATCACTATGGTCCGCCGCTGCGCGGCAGGACTAACTCACCAACCCAACCCCAGCCCGGCCACGCTCCCATTCATCACGAGGAGATCCATGAACAGTGTGGGTCTCACTCAGGTCTTGCGATATCAGTCAACTTGCCATTTTGTCGGTTCACAATAATGGTTGGCACATGATGAGATAAAGACATCTTGAAACGTCTTTCCGGCGTTGGGACTCATAGCATAATTTATTCTCGCTGTCGTAAGGCTGTCAACTTTCCATGACTGCCGAGATTGTGCGTTTTCCTAGTCTGCACGGCCCATTACAGCCATTTCAATCTGAGATGGAAAATCCCCCTCTCAAAGAAACGAGCATTCGCAACACGCATTGAATCACTTTAATTCCAACATTCACATGAATTTTCCAGGTCCTGCGAGACAAAGTGAGAGCCATTTAAGCTCATTGACATCATGGATATGTAGCACAACGATCTGAAAAACGCCAATACCCCACCCTGTCTGCAACTTTTTGCTGAGCGGATTGTTACTTGACTCACACCAAGCTATAGACGCCTTCAAGCTTCAACATGACACGCTTTCGTCCTTGTATTGACCTCCACGCCGGTCAGGTCAAGCAGATTGTCGGTGGAACTCTCGATAGTTCTTCCTCGGCCCTGCAGACAAACTTCGTCTCGCAACACCCTCCGGCTCACTTCGCCCAACTATACCGGGACAATGGGCTCTCAGGAGCCCACGTCATCATGCTAGGCCCAGGCAACGATGGCCCGGCAAAGGAGGCCCTTCAAGCTTGGCCAGGTGGTCTTCAAGTTGGAGGCGGTATCAACGACAAGAATGCAAAGGAGTGGATGGATGCAGGTGCGGAAAAGGTATGCCATCAGACCGATTCGCACGGGAGGAATAGCTGCTCACCCGACAGGTCATCATCACGTCCTATCTGTTTCCGGAAGGCCGCTTTAGCCAGGCAAGGCTGGATGCGGTCCTAGAGGCGCTCGGCGGTGACAAGAACAAGCTGGTCATTGACCTCAGCTGTCGTCGTCGCGGCGAGGATTCTTGGTTTGTGGCAATGAACAAATGGCAGACAATCACTGACATGGAAGTCAATCAAGGTAATTGATGTTTAGATACATGTCTCAAAACATTGGCTGACCAAAGACAGAATCCATCAAGGCTCTGGAACCCTACTGCGCCGAGTTTCTGATCCACGCCGCCGACAACGAGGGTCTCCAGAAGGGTATCGACGAGAAGCTTGTGGAGAGGCTCGCCCAGTGGTGCACTATTCCGGTTACCTATGCCGGCGGTGGTCGACACCTTGAAGACCTAGAGGCCGTGAAGCGGCTCAGCAACGGCAAGGTGGATCTCACGATCGGGAGCGCATTGGACTGTTTTGGGGGTTCAGGGGTCAAGTTTGACGATTGCGTCGAGTGGAACAAGAAACAAGGGAATTAAGAGAAAACAGCAAATCATTTATAGACGTCCTTGACGATTGTCATTCACAAAGCCTCCACAGCAGGGCGTTGAAAGGTCTCGGGCGCGAGGCCGACAATGCGACCAGCTTGTGACGGCCGCATAAATACGACAATAAAAGTGCCAGCGAGCCAATGCAGGGTCCAATCTCGAGCCAGAGAATTTATATAAGATGTTCATGCGAAACCACATCAGACTCTGGCGTCCAGTCACGAGGATGCTCTAGCTGCAGCAACACTGCTGATAGACGAGCAAGCCACAGAAGCCCGCTTAAACATGGTAGGACCGAGTTTTACAATCCAGCGTGTGGGAGAAACAAACATTGATCGAAAGAAGCGAGGCGTGTAGGGTGTGGTGGCAGTGTGGATTTTGTTTGTCTGGGCCACACCCATGCCGGCAAAGAAGAGTCTAGTGCCGAGATGACTTCAACTGGCGCTCGGGAAGATCGAGATGCAAGACATGGCAAAGGCATCGTCTAAGACTAGCGGAGCCATCCATTGGGGAGTGGGGGATCTCGAGGTTTCTCAAGTTCCGACAAGCTGGAAGAGAGATGGAGTGTTCTGTATGTGTGTGATGCGATGGATGTGAATGTGGGCACGAGATCAGGTCCCATCAACATCAGACTTGCTTCCCAACAAGACCCAGTACACTGCAGTAAGCTTTCTGCATCTCCATGGGTTACTCAAAAGTAAACGTCATGATGAGGAAGCTTAATTGGGCAAAAACAACAAGACTCCAGCTTTGTAAACACTGCGTAGCTGCCCATGACCAAGGATCATGCCAGAATGGCCAACCAATAGGCCTGCCAGCACGGCGGCTGGATGCGTTGCTGCCATGGCGACTACGGGGGCCTGTGTAGCGTGTGTAGCGAGCAGCCCAGTACTGCTGCGACGCTGGCTTTGGTGGAGGGCAGCTCTCTGCAGCGCTTGGAGAGGAGCCGCTGCAGCAGGGGCGGGGTAGTGCCTTTAGCATCCCGGCGCATTGTAACAGAAAGATTAGCGTCTCCAACGTCCGACTCTAGCTCGCCTCTTGCATCTGTTGCCCAGGCGACGCCTTCCGCACACAGCCCGTGTTTGTTTTCTTGCCGTCCAATCAGCGCCGTCTCCTGCCTGGCTCTACACCACTTCCCTTAAACACATCAACTCGCCATAGCACTCTCTCACCTACCTGCGCATTTCTTGACAGCAACATCGCTGATAGATATTCAGTTGTGTCGAGTCGAGTCGGTCGTCGAGCCTTTGAGAGAGCCGTCGTCTGTTGACCTACACCAAGGGCGTGTTTCTTTCTTCAAACCAAACCGACTACTTACTTACCTTACTTACCTTGCCTTCCTTCACCAGCTCTCGCCGAGTCGCGACATCCTCCTCCCCCTACATTTCTTTGTTTGTATCCCTCTCCGCATACCAATGCGTTGATAGTCCACCCACCCTCGCGACAAGACCATCAACCAACTGGGTGTAGCATGGCCACTGAACAGGTATGTTGACCCGCGCCACTCGCCCTTTTTTCCCGGGGAACTGTCTCTGACCAACACTCGCACAGGTGCATCCTTTGCGCATCACAAAGAACACCCAAAACACATCCCCTACCAAGATGCCGAGCGGGATCCCTCGCCCGCTGTCGGAGCTCTCGCCGACCGAGATGCGGCGAAACTCCCCCAGCTGGCACAAGCCGTCCAACGGCTCTCCCAAGGTACGTGGTCAACATGGGTCTACATTGTTTACTTTTTGCTCACACATGGCACAGAAGTCAGGAAACCCCGATTCTTCACCATTCCAGTCATCGCCGCTCGAGTCAGTGACGTCCCCACGACTGTTTTGGCAAAACCGCAACTCGGAAAACTTCTATGGACGAGGAGGGTCACCATCTCCAAACCGTCGCTCATCGATCGAGCGTCTCCAGAGAGCTTCTAGAGTCAGGAACAGCAACATCCTGGCGCTTGAGCAGAAGCAGGAATATGATCCTACTCGGATTCCTCAGATTGAAAGACCCCTCGCTAAGGTCCAAGGGAACGCTTTCGGATCGACTGGCTCATTCCGAGCTTCTGCAAACGAACGCCCATCCATCGCGCACGGCCGAAGCGAAAGCAAGACGAGCGTTCTCAGCATGAGCCCACCCAAATCTTCCATCCCCCAGTCTATTGGGTCACCGAATCGCCCCCTTACCCCGAGCCGAGACCAAGTATCGCCCACAAAGTCGTCTCTCTCACATCGATACAAGAGCAGCTTCGACATGGAGACGGGCACCTGGTCTGCGGGCTCACCCGGCGACGAGCACGAGCTGCCACCGGGACGTTCACTGCATCGTCATGCGAAGAGCGTGACTTTTGACGCTGCACCTCCCCAGATCAACGAATACGAGATGGCGACTCCTGACCTTTCATCCATTGGCACCAACTCTCGGGAAGGAAGTTATGAGTCTGATGACGACGACGATGATGACAACATGCTCTACGACCCTGGGCACGTTGATCTTGAGGGTGACAGCTTCGATGCGTCGCTCGAGGACACGGATAAGACACCTGTTGTCGGCCCTGACGACTGGAGAGGAGAGAGCCCCCTGGTGCAGCGCGATGGACCTCGCGAATATGATGGCAGCCCCATGCCTGAAAACGCACCTTCTGTTGCATCCGCTGGTCGTCCAGCACACATCCGCACTGATTCTTGCACATCAAGCGGAGAGCATCGGCCACTACCACCTCTCCCTGGATTTGTTAGCCACTCGCGCAACAACTCTGTCCCTTCCTCTCCCGCGTCTCCTGGACTCTCGGCGACC